TGAACATCATCCCCTGAACTAGTTATGTCGGAAATCTTACCAAAAATGTGCTTTCATGGCCTGCAGCAATTCAGTTAGTTTGTCATTCTCGACAGTCCTATCTTTTAAGTGGATGTACAGCTCTCCAGCGATCAACATGCCAACAACAGACAAAGTCCAATCAAATGACCCATCCCCAACTACAAGTGGCACAATCGGCGTGCCGAGGGTAGTTTTAGGACATTGGAATTCTATCCAGCATTGATTGTTGCCCACATACTGGTCACTGATGCATGCCACAAAGACCTTCGCCTTTTTCATCATTATGGCAGTCTTTTTTAACTCCTCGCCGGTGTTTGCTTTTCTTTCTCCAATCTTCAATCCTTTTTCCCAAAAATGTGGCATAATGTTACGTGGATCGCAAAGCTTGTCTAGCACTGGCATGTACCGCACACGCGCCTCCGTAGTTTCATTGTTCTTTATAGCTGTGGGGCTGTCTGTGACAGAATATGAGAAATATACATCAATGTCGTCATCAGATGCACCGTTTTCTGCTGAATCAGGGCCGTCAAGAATATCAAACACATTTGGTCCAATTTTTAGGTCTTCTAGTTAAAGCACACTAAATGTGTATTCGTACCCGGCATAAGTAAGCCATTGACCATCTTCCTCTCTTTTTGTGCGACACCCATCAAATAATATTGTGCCATCAAGGTCCTGCCGGATATTCGTTTTTTGCCTTGATGCCATTTCAGACCTCCGTTTGTTCCACCAAGAGGGCCACCAACATACTCGCCTTGTGGGAAAGGCAACGCTACCGATTGATATCTCGTTCTTATTCGGTGACTTATCTAAAGCGAGGTTGCAATAGTCGACAATACGACCAGTTGGATCTGGATCGTCCCAGGCGATTTCGTAGCTCATTTGGCATAAACTTGCAAATGGCGGCTTGGAAATACTTTGATGGAGTCAGTGATCACATTGCTAGTACTTTGTTACCTACGTGTGGAAACACCTTTTCGATACATGCTTCGTTAAAGTGTTCTCCTTAACAGGTTTTGCTTAATTGATTATCAACTTCTGGCACAGCCTCTCTCTCATCCTTTGCCTCACTCACCTTTATGAAAACCGTGTTTGTATTTGCTGGGGTGTGATCGTCTTCACAATGCCTTAAAAGTTCGTCTGCATCCTTAAAGCTCTTCAAGTCGCATTTTGGGCATTGAAGGGATGGAATCGAAACTTCGTTTGCAAGGGGAGTCTGGTCGTGAACGATTTTGGCATGTTCTATAAGATGCTTGCCATCTCTAAATCCAAACAAATTACAATAAGGACAAGAAAGGCTTTGGACATGATGCTCTTTTTCAAGATGAGAAAGAATATCTGCAGACCTTCGAGATTTGTATTCACAGCGTGGACATCTCAGGCTTTCCGCTGATTGCATCCCATTTTCTATAAATAAAAGTTAGAAACTTTTGAAATGATACATCTTCCAAATGAAAAATATTAGCAACACATAAAAGACGTTTTTGTTATAAGGCACTTTTTTGAATTTAACTTTAAGTCCCAAGATTGGATTGAGACAATATAAGAAAAGGGTCCTATATTTTTCGGACATTTGAGTTCAAAAAGGACCTTTCAAACTGAAATCCGTTACCATTTTTTCATACTTCAGTTTTGCAAGACCTGAAACATCTTGGTCTGACTTTCAGCAAAGATCCTGGAATAGTCACTATTCCAGTATCTTTGCTTTCAATGAGGCTCAAGAACTAACACAAGACAGAGAGGAGTGTAAAGGGCTGCTTAGAAACGTGAAGAGTGTCGAGTCACAACAGTGTTGTAGTCCACAACAAAGACAGAGAGAGAAATGTGAACAAAAAGTTGTTTCTACTAGAATAGCACAATAAAATATCGTTATTCCTATGTAAGAAAACATAAGCTAGTCCCCGGCGTGTCCCTCTCATTTAGTGGTGTACACGAGCTTTAGATTTCATAATCATATTGATGGCCAAATTATATGCACACATTTTATTGTAAGTATAAAATGCTGTGATATTGTCAGCAAAGAGAAATCTTGGTCTAGGTTGGTTGTAGAAAACACCCTATTTCAGTGTTATTTTCCAGATTCCAAAAGGTACCTTTTTTAAAGGTTTCCCTGTTCAAGGTTTGAGCAAAAACTATCCCTTTCTCAGTTGTTTTCCGGTCGCATATTATCGCATGTTACGATTCAATTCACCTTGCCAACTGTGCAAAGGCTTTCCTTAACCAGGATCTTGTAACAATCTATAAGATTCTATAGGAAGATTTTCTCAATTTTATCTTTTCATTTACTGCGAGGAAGTCGTCGTTAGATCAACGTTGATACTACGAGACTACTAGTAAACCTCGAGACTCCCGGTTATCCCGCGAGATAGAAAGTAATTTTATGAACCGTTGAAAGAAAGAAAACAAGTAAAATCGAGACAAGGCATGACCACTGATCTGATCAGTGGTCATGACTTATTGTCTTGGTTGCATTTTACCATGTCCGTTATAAATATACAATTATTATATCTCTATGACGATTAAACAGTCATAACAATAAGAACTGCTGGCAGTTCTTATTATTAAAATTTAAAGTAGTTAAACCACAAGATGCATGTGTTCAAAATATCGGCGGCTCATGGCACGAGGATCTGTATATCCCCGCCGGCCGTTGGTTTCACTTATGTGTCGGGGCAGAGTGAAAAATTCACGACGACATTAAAAACCTTGTTTGATTTTAATCATGTAAACTGAAAAAACAAATAAATACACCAAATTATGCAAATTCATGTTATTCTGGCGCAACTTGGCTGATACATAGCCAGTGAAAGACCTAAATATTGTTAATGAATTACTATTTTTTTAGTCTGGTCCATGACTTTTGAAACCAAGACGAAACAAAATGGATTTGACGGGGGAGAGCCTCTGCTTATGTGGCAATATCTCTGCAAATTTCTCACCAACCGATTTGCATATTTGGAGATATTTCATGCTTTTCTTACAGAATTTATGGTCGAAATTCAACGACAGGCTTGAATGATGTTTCCACTAACACTTCTCAATCAACTGTATCACTTTACCAAAAAATCTTTCTGATAATTATCATCGTAAAGCCTTCTATAGAAAACCTACTTTCAACTGTAAATGGTGTTCTTTGAAGTGCAGTGCATATGCTCATGATATGCACAGGGGCGTAACTACCCCCTTTTGCATTAGGGGGAGGGGGTGTAAACGTTTTTGCCCGACATTTTGGGATTTGCCCAAAGAAAATCTTTTAAGCAAAATTCGCGGTAATCGGACGGATTCTATATAGAAATGTACCTGTAATTCTTCGGGACTTCAAATTGGCTTCCATGTAAATACTGGCCTGAGGTCCAGAACCTTAGCAGCAAGCTCTTTCAAAGTATTACTTTAAATTGATGTAAAGATACACCGTTGCATGCATTTTTAAGCTCTGCGTCTACGTCCTACGTCCTTCAGTGTTGATTTCTCAATATATTCAAGCAATAATTGCATAGGTATGGAGAGAAAGATGTGACGGTGAAGGGCAAGTCATTAATCTCATTAACGGCTTTAAAGCTAGCTCTACCATCGACCAGATTCCTGTCGTTTGCTGGGATAAGCTGCTTCGCACAGAGGCATAATCTTCCAACTCTGCACCAGTCATATACAGTGAGTTAATGGAAAACCACGTTTTTACCAGTTACCCAGCTACAATGTTGTTTTTTAGCTAATTTTCCCTCAATTTCTGGGAAAATGCTGGGACAAGGTTTTGCGCTCGGTTACACAGCCGACTATTTGGAGGCTATCTAAATACAAGCTGTTTTTTATTTGAAAATCTGATATTTCTGTTTAATCGCATGCAAAATCGTCAAAATCTAGAATATAATCTAGAACAGGATTTCATTAATTCTTCAAAATTATATTTTACAGTACCTCGGCCTCAGCTTGTTCTTGATCTGTTCTTTACTTTCGAACAATTGGGGCAGTTATGAGCAGAAGCCTTCAGTTCTTATAACATTGTTCTTATAAAAAAGATTGTATTAAGTTTTGAACCTACTATGATTTACTCCTTGCTGATTAATGATTTCTTTAAACTGAAAATTTATTTACTTTTAGATTTGTCGCTTGGGTGGGGTCACTCTGATAGCCCTGATGATTCCAAACTTGTAATGTAAGAATAGTAGCCTATTTCTATCTCTAACATCGTAAGGAATTCCTATCTTCAGTCTATTGTAAATGAATTTCTTGATGCTGAAAAATATTTGAGTTTTCAGTTTGACAAATTCCCTCTGGTTTTTCACAACAAAAGATTTTGTCGGACGAAAGTCTTTGACACAAGCAGGAAAACAGGAAACCGATTTGAGTATAGTTGTGATTCAAGACCTTCTTTCTGTTGAGATGTGACTTATATTTACCTATGTATGAACATGAACGTTTACCATTATGAAACATTATCCTTTCAGTGGTGCCTAGTTCTCTCACCGCGCACCACGTTTTTAGTTAGTTCGATTGGCAAGATGGCGGATGTTGTTATGTTAACATTTGTTAGTGTTGAATGCGTTATGTTACCAATAATCCAATGAGTTTTCTCTTAGTTTTACCTCCGTCATGAGTACAGATTTAACACTTTCTCAACGAACAGCATAAATGACTTTGGCTGCCTATCCTATAAAATGGAGACTGTCGAAGTTCAGGGGGGAGGGGGCTGTCACACCCACAGTCTAACTAAATCAAGTTCAGTCAATTATTGTATTTTCGTGTAAATTTAGCTTTCATAAACGAAGCTGAACAGAAAAATATATAATTTTAGTTAGCGCAGCCAGATGAAGGCACATTTTCAACTTACACTCTTTGGTTAGAGGACCAGTACTATCAACATCTTTGAATTCAAAAGGAATATGTAAACGACAATAAACTGGATTTCAATTGAAAAATCACTGTTTACTAAAGCTTACTTGTAAATGTATTGGTATTTCCCAGGCTACTTGTAAATGTATTGGTAATTCCAAGCTCTGACGTGATTGGCTGCTGGTCAATCATTTCAAATTCTAAACAAGAAATATTAACAAATTATTCAATAACCACTAACAAACTAAAAGATAATTAATCATTTACTAATTAAAATGCTGAGCTGCAAACGCCAGCTATTTTCTTAGGAATTTAGCTGATAATACTGCAAACAAAAGGGCCAGCAATTTGAAAATGCGTGTGCACCATCTGAATATGGCCTGAAAGATAATTGTGAGGTACATATAAGGCAAACTTTCCACTAACCTGGGTTAAAACAAAACCGGGTTAAAAGTTATTCGTTTTTAAAGTGAGTCAATGGAAACGGCAATTTTCTTCGACCCGTTTTTGATCCGTTTTTGATTGTTCCCACTATGCCGGGTTAAAATTTATTCGGGGTGAAGTATTCGAAACATACGCAGAGTTGTAAGAGAAAACAGTACTTGCATCAATAATCCTTCAATTTCCATCGTTGAAGGCCGATGTTACTGTTGATGCAAGTGGGTCAGAATTTTTCCGGGTTACAGCGTTTCCATTAACTCGCAGGTGGGTCAAAAGATACCCCGGTAAAAACTGACCCACTCTGACACCCGTTTTCAAACTTATCCGTTTTTCAAGTGGGTTAGGGGGAACGCAACACAGAAACCAATAATTTGTAACCCGTTTTTGTTCTAACCCGGGCTAGTGGAAAGGCTGCCTAACACTTTTGTTTTGATAGATAAATTTACAGCTCGAGAGTGTGCCTTTATCTGGCTAGGCCATCTGTCAATCAATACTAACCAATCAATAGGTCTGTGAGTGGTACCACGCTCACTGATTGGCCAATAGTCGATTGACAGATGGCTAAAGTCATTTTAGTATCTGCCGATTGCCTTTTATTGAAAATCGTTTAAAATCACAACATCTTTTAAAACTTATCGAAGAAAGAAAAAATGAACAGTCATTGTGAAAAAATTTATGGTTGGTCACTCTCTTCTAACTGCAAACTTTTAACAATGTCTAAAAAATATGTAAATGTTTAAGCAAAAAACGTACCTTCTGGGTTAACTGGACTGAAAAAGATAGAATAATAGTTAAGTTTTCAATAATGACAAGACATAGAGCAACAATTATGAAATAAATTATGAAAAACTTATACCATTTACAACAGACCATTGCCACGTATACATTTTCAGACCAAAGATCAATTAAAAGAACTATTTTGATTAAACAAATTTCTAAGAGAGAGAAAAACAAATTTTTATTGTAAATAGCACAGAAGCAAGGTTTTTCCCTTATCATCTACAACTGCATTAATGTTTATGTATAAGAATACCGAAAAAACAGAATTATAACTTAGTAAGCAAAATCTCATAAGCAAAAGTGATTCACTGTACCTTTTTAGTCTTTCTTCGTTGAAGGTGCCAGCTGAAGCATAGCCATCTGCGATGTCACTCGCATAAACTTTCTCTCTATCTGAGTCCATATTCCTAGAATGATAAACATTGTGCGTAAACAAACGTAGGTAACAGAGCCTGGTGGCTGGTAGCACTTTTGCACAACCATTTTACTTATGATCAAAGACAGTTCACAATAATCGTATGTTCTTGTTCAGGGGTTGCAAAAATTATACGATGCTTTCCAAAATTCTTGGTAAACTAAACTAAATTTAAATAATCTGTCAATAGCAGGGTTTATTTTAACGTGGAGTGATAACCAATGTGTTCAGTGATAAATCATAAATGTGCAGCGATAAAATCAAATTTGTGCAGTGATAATTTTTTTAACATAGCCTATTAACATAGCCCTATTAAATTTAAGAACAAATTAAGAATAATCCAACCTCAGATTTTCAAAAATATTTAGAACAGTCAGCCTCAACTTAAATTTACCGGTTGTTATAAAAAAAGAGCGTACATGCATATTTAAATTTATGTACAAATTGCTACTGATTGTTGGGCTTTGAAGTCGGTTTCTTCAACTTGTTTTCCTGCGACTGTATGCAGAAACTAGCCTCTCGCAATCTGCAGAATGGGGCTTGCAAACAAGAATCCTGGTCAAAACGTTGTTCAAGGCATCACAATCGTGCTTGGGGGTGCAAAAAGCTAGCAATACCGTTCTCGGACTTCCTTTATCCATGCTGCTCTGTTTGACATCTTCGTATTGGCCAGCTGAGACTCAAAGTTCAACATTTAAAAAATAATTAAGAGCACACCCTATAGAATGCCACTGTAGATTGTGTAAAAAATTTATTGCTGGGTTAGGTTTTATTTAGAACATTATACCTTAAACCTTTTTAATATTGTATCATATATTTTTATTTCATACTAACTCTTTATAGATAGTTGGCCTTAATTAGCTTCTTTATAGCTATCAGCCGTTCATTTAGTACGCCAACTTTAAACAAATTATTTATTATTATTATTTATATTATCATATAAAGGGCAATATCGGGTGCAACTGCATCATGGACTTTAGAAATGCCATCCCTTTCTGAATTGAATTTCACGAAGTTGGAAGAAACGGGCCTTGATGCTACATCCAGCAACAGTCTGTTTCTCTTTGAATTTCTCCAATGGAAACAAAAATTCTTAACTTATTGCATTATTGTTACTTCTTGTTTCAAAAACAAACTGGTTCATCCGACTTTGGCGATGTTCTTTTTGCAACAGCACTTTCTCAAAAAATGAACCCTTCTCTTCATCAAAACCTTTCTTGAAAGTTTTTTCCCAGCCTCCCAAAACCGGGCTTTCATGCAGCCTTTCAAGCTTTTTTATGAACACTGTGGTTTCTGGAACTACATCTACTAGGTGATGTCGTTTGCTTGAAGCTTTTTCTAGAAAATCTTCAGCAGAAACAACCAAGAAAGCAGGGCACCAGGGATTTGACCGCAAAAATCGTTCCAGATGATCTTTAACCCCTTAGGTACCAATCATTGTCAGATCCCGTATGAAATTTTTATCTTTATGTCGATATAAAATCAGCATCGTGAGTAAAACATAATGAAACTTTAAAGAAGAAAATGATTTTTTGCTCTTAATCTGAATTGGGGTGAGAGTGTTGTAAAAAAATGAGGCTGTAAGTTGAATTGGTGTATACTCTGCTGGTAGAAAGGGGGTGGTCATTAAGAATAATAAAAAGACAACGCCCATAAAATAAAGTTCTATCTTAATACGTGCAGTCATAAAAATCCTTAAAATAAACCCTGATCACCGGTGCTTCTCTCATTTCATTAACAAATGTTTTATACCACTTCAAAAGATTCACTCTTCTCAAGATTCGCTCTTTTCCTATCAGACATAATTTTCAATTTTGTAGAATGAATACTTAAAGTGCCACTGAACTGAAAAAAATGAAATTTTTTTTATTGTTGATTCTGGTAGACCTATCATCGCTGATTTCGGAAAAAAGTTTAGTTTTTTTAATTTGGGGCCCACAAATAGGGGTTTCTGGGGTTCTTTTGCGAGTAGGTCGTGCGAAAAGAGGCTGGGGCGAGTGACGCATTCAGATTTATATAGTCATTTCAGCCATAGTGAGGGCTGTAAGAAGATAAAACGATACAAATTGTGTAAAACATGACACAAGCATGAAACTTGATAGAGATAGGCAGTTTAATACGCCAAAAAAGATAGGGTGTGAATAGACGCTGACAAATATACCCTTGTGCTATTTATAGACTGGGGTACTAGGTTCCAAACCTCTAAGCAGTAATTGACATAATTTAGCCATTATATCGCGAAACCAACATGGAACGTGGTAGTAATAGGCAGTTTGATACGCTGAAAAAGATAGGATATGAATTGACCCTGAAAAATCCCCCTTGTGCTGAAAAATCCCCCTTGTGCTATTTATAGAGTGGGGTACTAGGTTCCAAACCTCTAAGCAGTAATTGACATAATTTAGCCATTAGATCGCGATACCAGCATGGAACTTGGTAGTAATAGGCAGTTTGATACGCTGAAAAAGATAGGATATGAATTGACCCTGAAAAAATCCCCCTTGTGCTATTTATAGAGTGGGGTACTAGGTTCCAAACCTCTAAGCAGTAATTGACATAATTTAGCCATTAGATCGCGATACCAGCATGGAACTTGGTAGTAATAGGCAGTTTGATACACCGAAAAAGATAGGGTCTGAATAGACGCTGAAAAATATCCTTTGTGCTATTTATAGACTGGGGTACCAGGTCCTAGACCTCTAAGCAGTAATTGACAGAATTTAGCCATTAGATCGTGATACCAGCAAGGAACTTGGCAGTAATAGGCAGTTTGATACGCCGAAAAAGATAGGGTCTGAATAGAGGCTGAAAAATACCCCTTATGCTATTTATAGACTGGGATACCAGGTCCTAGACCTCTAAGCAGTCATTGTCATAATTTAACTTTTAGATCGCGATATCGGCATGGAACTTTGTAGAGATAAGCAGTTTGATACGCTGAAAAAGATAGGATATGAATTGACCCTGAAAAATCCCACCGTGCTACTTATAGGCTGGAGAACAAGGTTCCAGATAAAGCAAGTTTTTTTCATAATTTTCATTTTGGATCACGATACCATGACAATGATGCTAACAATGATGCTACTGCTATAACCAGGGACGCCAAGACATTCTGGAAGCCAAAACGGATAGGCGATATTTGCAACCACGAATTCTAGATTAGCCTAAATTGATTCTTTTTCATGCAAACGTTTAAAAAAGTTTTACTTTTAAAGGCATAATTTTGTTACTTTTAATCAATTCCATTTAAAATGAACTTCTACTTTTTGAGGCCCCCTGACCACGGGGCAATTTATCCCATCTTGACGGCCCTGGCGATAACTGATGCTTTGACAGTGGCAACGCAAGTTGGAAAGTGGGAAAAGCGCCGAAAAATGTGCAATTTGTTTGGTTCTTTAATAGAACAACTTTTTCCCTTGATCAATTTGCTCACTTTTATTCATAATTTGTAAAGCTGTTTGTAAGAGCATTCTTATTCGACACGCTCAATTATTCACAAAAGGTAAATAATCGGGATGAAGTCTTGGTAAAAACTGCACGCAAAAAGTTTGCTTATTTCGTATCGGCTCGAAATTTTCGCAAGAAAATACCTTGCACATGTCTTGTAGTTAGATAGCTAGTGATATTTAGAGCACAAGTATCGCACTATTTTCATCCACTTCACGTTTTTTGGGTTTTTTATCGCACTCGAAATACAGCTTTCAGTACTGAAGCCCGCATCACTTCCGCGACTTATAAACGTTAATGCGTCACACATTCCTGAAATTCCTCACAGACCGCGCACAAATTTTCGCACAAAAAGTCTTGAAAATCGCAACTTTGAAGCGTTGTAGCTTCAAAACACTTCACAATTCCGAAAAATGAACTTCACCATCGGATTCAGGAGCACTGACTTGACTTAGAACATCAATAAAAATTTTTTTGATTTTTTCAATTCAGTGGCACTTTAAACAACGGAAGCTGCCAAAACTGTTAGCAGGATTTTTAGTCGTTCAATGACGTAAAAAGAATTCACCTACGTTTGTGTATACATCGGGTTGATAAATGATTTTGCCCTGACGTCATATTGCCTGTAAAAACAGAGAATGTAACTTACTAGAAGCAGAAGATGAAGACAACCAAGATAAACATCTTTCTGGAACAGAAAAGAAAACTGGTAACTTATGAGTTTAGGTGGTTCTTAAGGATAGCCGATCGATTATTGCTTGCTCTGCTGCCTAGCTTGGGTTATTTGCCTGTTGTCAATAAAAAATTACCTGTACTTTCGCTTAAAGCAGAAAATGATGACGATGACTAATAGAGCCATGAGGAACATGAAGGACAACACAACGAGTCCAATGATCCAGTACGTTGCAACGTAAGCACTGTTTCCGACACCGGTTTTAGTTGAAATGGATGCCAAAGCTGCAAAGAAAAAGTTTGGTGATGTTTACGCAAGGAAAAACAATGAATTATGTATAGTAAAGTGATGTCTTTGCATTTTTGATAAAGCAAAGAAGACACTGACAACAACATAGGCGATGGATTTTGTTTTTTCTATTTGTATTTGTTGCTACGTGTAGCTTTCCAAGGTGTTTCAAGACACTAAGAAGCTATGCTTATCGAGCAATGTCCACATCCCGTGATTCCTATGCCTGATATAACAGAGAACTCACAATTTTCTTCATTCCTTGTGAAAGTTGGTTATGACAGGGACTCGAACCCCAGACCTTTGGATCGGTGGTCGGCGAGCCCAGCCACTGAGCCATCCACACACTATAGGTATTTTTAACAAAGAAAACAACAGTTAAATGCATGTAAACAGAACTTTATATTCTAGCAATCAGAACTCTATTATTCAGGCCTTCTGTAAACGAGAAGAAACAATGTAAGACATACTTGTTGCTTTCGGCTCGGTAAATGCGCCAGATACAGGTTGGTTGTTGACATAGTAGCCCACCAGTTGAAATCTAAATTCAATTGCGTTTGGATAAGATTTCGAAACAGACATGGAATTTTCAATGCCTCCGAAGGTTAATCAAAACGCCCACCCATTGGTTTTATGTAAAATCCATTCATTTTCCAAAATTCACTCCTATGGTATCTTCTCCTTCTTCCCAAACAAATATCGATAATTCAACGAATGTAATGCAAAATACCTGAAGACATATACTCTAATTTCTCACTTCATTTTATACACAAGAACACTGTCTGTAAGGTAAAGGGGGATCACTTCATTAGACATTGAGACTTAACGCTAGTGTTCGATTTGTAATCTATCAGTGAATATAATTTGGGCTTGGTAATAGAGAGACTGCACTTAGGTACAGTAGGAGCATGATGCGTGGCATGGATATTATTGCAAAAATCCTAACTCGAACTATATCGTTAGGTTTCCAAGTCATAACACGAGCTATGTCTTTAGGCATCTAAGATTCAAATTCATTTAATCCAAAGAATTCAATACAAACCTCAAATGCTTGCCTTGATGTTTGAGACATTTTTAGTGGAAAAACAGATAAAACTTGGGAGGTATATTTGATACAATTGCAGACAGGAATGACAGATTAAAGTTCATGCGGATGAAGAAAATGTTTTCAACTAACCTGTAAAACTTTCCTGGTAGCAAAGGTCCATTGCAGACATCGCTTTCTAATGTTTTAGTTTGGCAGTTCTTCTCAGTACCCACATCGACGTCGACTCTGCTTGACGTCTTTTGAATCTAAGTTGATATCAAAATAAATGAGTGATAAATGAGCTGATAACATGTGCAAATTGTAGGATAATCTTAACTGACCTGTTGCTCATAAGTAAGAAATGACTGCTAGTGAAATAGCTTAATCTGTAATTCTTTATGGAAAATGCATGCTCAATTTGCAAGAATAAGGCCTGGTTCAAACGTCGCACTTCTCATGTGCCGATCATGAGCCGTGCAGCTCGGCAAGCTCTGGCGATCCAAACTAGTCTGCCGCTCCTAACTAAATCCGCCATACCAAATTTATTCAAACGTCGCGCCCCTCATATACTTAATTTTCGAGTTAGGTTCGGCACATGAGAGCGCGACGTTTGAACCAGGCCTAAGATCAATTGAAATGTGGATTGTGAAACTTACAGCTCTTCTTTTTCGCTTTGAATTTGTTTTGATAATCGTTGCAATGACGTATCTTCGATACCGGAATGTATCTGGTATGTAATGAACGTGGTACCACGAAACTGTGTGCATTCCTGTCAATTCATTGACTAAAAACGAAAGAAATGTAAAACAATAAAAGTATGCAAAGGGTTGTAAAAACAAATAGGACAATCTTCACTGATGAAAATACTACAAATACTTTGAAGAGCGAAACTATGTTAAGAGATACGCAGTACTTTTGCGTTAGCAAGCGACAGGCAACTTCTCTGATGCGGAGTCGACACCAAAGGGTGGAGTTGGGTGATCACAGTAAATCAATGGAAAGAATAAGCTCTTGCTAAACGACTGTACTTACAATTGGTCGCTGACGCCTCGTACTGTTGAGCAACAACTTCATACTTGATTATCATTGAGTCTTCAAATGGGTCCTTCGTTAAAGAAATCTGCATTGTAAGTGCGGTTACTGTCGTGATTGAATTGTTGTTATACTGGGGATGAAGAACGGCAATAGTGATGTTAGCTGCGAGTAATGAAGTTTTGGCAGGCGTGCCGTGGTCTCGAGCAGTTACTGTCAAGAAGAAAACTTTTGGCGCTGATGACGTGTTTAGCGATTTCACGTTTGTGATTATTCCCGTTCTACCGTCCACTGCAAAATAGTCGGCGTTAGCTCCCTGCAACTGATTATAATGGATAACACCGGATGCACCAGTATCGTTATCTGCTGCAGCAATAATGAGAACAATGGATCCAAGTGTGGCATTCTCGTTAATTACGGCACTGTACGATTGATGTATAAAGTATGGGCGATAGTTATTTGGCTGGATGATAACAGAAGAACCTGTGAAGTAAAAACACAACGTTTATTTATTTATTTATTTGTTTATTTATTGGTTGTCTTTCTTTGTAAATATGACTGCATGTGACAAGATTTTCTTTTAGTAAGATAATTAACACTTTAATTTTACTCCTGAATGAATATAGGCCATTTGACAATTGGCTTCTGTATCGTATGTTATGCAACTCTACTGCAAGGTAAATAGTTTTCAAAACATGTTTTTGTGTGTTTTCTTCAGTTCTGCACTGAGAAATCGAGGCATTCAAAAACTAGCCAACAAGCTTTAAGATTAGAAATGACGCAGAAAAGGTTTGAATGCAGAACAGCATAGTATCAAACCAAATGATTAAGAGTATTCTGCAGTTGTATTTTTACAAACCTGTATCAAATACAACAGGGACACAAGATGTTGTTGCCGGATTCGCAGCATCTGTTGCACAGGCGGTGATCACAATGGGCAACGATAAGCCAGCACCTGATAAGGACTTTTTCAATGTGACCACTCCAGTTGTAACGTTGACGTCAAAATATTCATTCGCAACGGCTCCATCAAGACTGTACTTAACAGCTCCCATGCCATCAGGATCAGTTGCTGATATTGTAGTAACTATTGTTCCAATGCTGGTATTCAAAGGTACACTGGCAGTGTAAACCTTGCTGGCAAATACAGTCTGTTTGTTGTTTTCGTTTCTGACCGCAATGGTGAACGAATGACAAGCTTGACTTCCCGTGTTCGAGTCTCGTGCACAAGCTGTTAGGCTGTGAGATTGTGCCGAATCGTGGTTTAATCTTTGGTTCAGGGTGATGATACCCGTCACAGGGTCGATGAAAAACAACCCATTGGCATTGCCTGAAGTAATGGAATAAGAAATGTTAGTACCAGCGTCGTTATCTGTCGCTCGGATTGTTGTGACGTATGAGCCGCTGCTTGCCAGTTCTGACACAGTTACTCGAGATGGGCCAGTGACAACCAGTGAATTGTCATTGACGTCTGTCACATTGACTACGACAAATGCAATGCTGGTTATACCAGTCACTTGGTCTTGGGCATTGACGACAATAATGTGTGACGTCATTTTCTCATAGTCCAATGAGACTTTCGTCGTTATTACTCCGGTCGCATTGATTTGGAAGTATGCATTACCTTCTGGATTACCAATTGAATATCTGAAAACGTGTGAAACATTACTTGATTAAAACGTAATGGCAATATTAAGGTTGGAATCAATAGATACATCTCAATTTTTAAACATTTTTAAATGGCATTATAAAAAGCAAACATTTCAAAAGATACAAAAACGTTTTTTGTCTGAAACTCCTCAGAGTATAAAACGACAGAATAAAGGTCCAAAAGAACACGATGAAAAATGTTTACCCAGTTGTGGATCGAAATATGCCAATCCGAAAACGAAGTACATGACCGCCATAGTTGTCCATGCAATCAGCACCGCGTGCCTTAAGAAAATTACCACTAGTGTCCAAAAGAGAAAACGAACACCTTCTGTCTACACAATGGCGGCTTTTTCGTTTTTATTTAAATCGATTCCAAAACTGCTAGATGGAAAGACGGCCAGGCTTTGGCGATTAAATGAAACATGTCGTCACCATAGAGTTTTGCACAATCTGGGTTGTCTAATGGCGTTTATTGATGACAGGGTTATTTGTTTTTACTGTGTTTTTAGACCTACCGGATCTAAGAGATTGATGTTGTTTTATCCTATCCCCCAATCTCTGGGTTGTGCGTCCTAGATAGCCAGAATTGCACTGGCGCGTACATTCATAGACAACAGAGCTATTTTGGGTGGTAGGAACGCAATCCATTTGAAGGGATGGAAGTAAACTATTGATAATAGTTACAAAAATGCTTTACACGGCATAGCTAATACAAAGCTAGGAAAGGTTTATCACTTACACGATACTTCTGTTAGAAGACACTGGTGTACCAGTCAAAGAGACCACAGTTGTCCCTACAGCTACATTCTCGGCCAATGTCCTAGTGATATAGGATGACACACCAAAAAGCTTACAGCCTGCTTTTGCTGCCGTTATTCTCACGATAGTGACAGTCACTGTTGCTTGGATATCAGCCTGTAAGCCTCCGTTGTCGGCCAAACTGATGCGAAGGGTGTAGGTATTCTGCGTGTAGAGGTAAGGGGAAGCAGCCAAAGTGATTACTCCATTACTTGGGTTGATTGTAAACAAGCTGTTCGTATTTCCACTGTCAATGGCCATTGTTAGAGTGCTCACAGTGTCACGGTCTCCAGCCAGAACATGGACAATAGTGGCACCAGAAATCGTGTATTCATGAATCTGGACAGCGTATGTTGCAGTGATGAAGTATGGGTGATTGTCATTAATGTCTTGGACATAAATATCGATGGATACATTGCCAAAGACTCCACCGGCGAACTCTGCCCTCGCATTGAAAAGATGGCGCTTGGCTGTCTCAAAGTCGAGCTCCTTCACAAGGAAGATTTCACCTGTGATGCAAAATCAAATCATTATAACATCTTTAAAGTTTGCAAGGTTTTAATCAATCTACGAGTTTCTAATGACGAACTCTTATCGTCTATCGTAGAAAATAATTACATTATCAATGTTACTTTTACTGCTCCAACAAAAATTGTTATCAAGATATCATACCTGTTGTCCTGTTGACCCGGAAGTATTCCAAAGCACTTGCTTGTACAATACTATAGTTAACAGCAGCAGATCCACTTACAAGACGCACTTGGAGAATGGCACTTGAATATGTGGTATTCTCAAGAAGTGTTCTGACATACTGAGCCCTACTAAACATGTAGTTGGATGGTGCCAGGCATGTTGGGCAAGTTACCGGACATGTGGGGGCAGAGGTAGTCACAACTGGCACACCAGTGCAAACAGGGCAAACTGGACAATAGACTGGACATTTGGACGGTGTAACAGTGAACATAGTATCAAGATGAATGATAATAACTGCTTTAGACTGCGCTGTACAAACACCATCCGTGACAGAGAGAGTCAGGTTGAAGGTTTTTGAGCCTGCGATTACAACACGCTTCTTCGTTCGAATCACTCCCATGTTATCGATTGAGAAATCATCTGAAGAGAATAAAGAATATCTCTTGTTTTAAATTGAATTGAATTACATATATTGAATCATTTACAGTTATATGCATATGTTAGATATCATTCAATTGGGCGCGTTCAGTACTTTTTGATGCGAAAATAGAGTAAATTTAGATATAAGTCAAAACTCAAGCTTTCAAATGTTTACAAAGAATATAATTGTAACCTGTACTTGGCTGCTATTACAAACAGAAGAAACGATCAAATAGCAAGAAATACCTCCTGCATCTCCTGCAGTGATGCTGTACGAAAGTGCCGGAGCACTGTCGGCATCATTCGCTTTATTAATTGCTATGATAGTACCACTTTCAACTGGAGTTGTCAATCTTGAATAGACCTCGCTTTGGCTGAACACCGGACAGTTGTTGTTAACATCGAGTACATTCACTACAACAACTGCATCCGAGTACTCGCTACCTATTCTAGCTCTGACAGTAAACCGGTGCATCTTCTGCTGCGTGTAATTCAATGGAACTATCAATGAAATATTTCCTGTAGATTCAATGAAAACAAAATTAAGAGAAACGCAGCGATAGAATATAGCGCATAAAGGTAAAAAGCAAGTATGAAAAAATCTGATAAAATTTCAACAGTATCACGTTCACTATAGGCGTGGTACAGATGTGCTGTTTGGTGCTCATACATTTCTACTTTGTAATACGGCTATTTAAATCTGTACACGGCGAAAGAACGACACTAGGGACAATGCATGTAAGACAAACAAGACATGTGACCGTTGCAGGGCATGAGACGGGACACGTTTGTCAAGTCTTGACAGGACATGACGTTGTGGTAGCAGTATTAGGGCATGGAGGTCTCGTTGTTGGACATATCGGACAACAAGAACAGAATTGATCTGGGCATTTTGTAATCCGCTGTGTTGTAGGACAAGGAGCACATGTGCAGTTGTAGCAAGATGGTAGAGATGGGCATGGAGGCGATATATCCTTCATCACAATAACAACCATTGGAACTATCTTAGAGCATAGACCGTCGGAAACAGTTATCATCAGATTGAAAATATGCTTATTTGTAGATGTTATGAGTGTGCGTGCAGTGACAATTCCAGCGCCATCTATGCTGAAGTTTCCATTTGTATCTCCGGCCGTTATTGCGTATGTGTGGTTTTTAAACGAGTCTAAATCGTTGACTATAACGCGGCCAACGACTGAGCCTGGTTGCACTGGCTGATAATAGGATCCATTGACGGTTGATGCTTGCGGACAGTTATTGTTTACATCTGTCACATGGACGATAACGGATACGTATGATATGAGATTAGTTACGTTGGCATTTATGTATTTGTGTGCGTGTTTTTGGAAAGTATTTGTGTGCGTGTTTGTTAAAATTGACGCACTAAATGAGTAGCTTTATTTCAGAAATAAGGAACTACTATAGATATAGTAAAATAGAGATAAATAATAAACGACTTTCCGTTTTGCTGCTTGATCATGCAAATCAAAGGTCATCAAAATATGACTACGATCAACCCTTCTGCGTGCACAAAAGGATATGCATAAAAACTTCAAAATCAAAGAAATGCGCGTGCTCTGTTGCTCCAAAATAAAAATGCAGGAGAACCAGATAACCGGAAACAGAACAGTGAATAAGTACCATTGCTCCTTCGCCGGGGCAATGTAACAATTATATTAGTCCTTCACCAGTTTTCAGGACTATTCTTTATAATATCAAAGTTATTTGTCAGCTGCAGATTTCGATAACATAGGGGTGGCAGCTTCAACGCCTTACCTGTAGAGGGGTTAATCTGGAACAAAGACCTTGCAGCTACTTCAATTATCGAGAAAATTGTAGAAGATGTCAACGCCCGCGTTTGGATGGTCAAGAACGTCTGACTTGTAGGGTAGGTTTCTGGTAAAGTGCCTTCGTAGTAGTAACGTGAGAAGGCAAATTGACAACTAGTCAATTGGATAGTGGCAGCTTCTTGGCACTTAAGTTGATTGTATACAAACACAGGCTGGTTATCGTTAACATCAAATACTCGGATGAAAACAGTTGCGTTGGAAGCTGCCTTCAATCCACCTTTGTCTTGAACAGATATGGTCAAAGTGTAGTTCTCCTCTGCGCCTATAAAGAAATAAAGTTGCCTAAATGAGTGAATTTGGTGATAGCAGGGCAAGAATTGCCAATCATCAGAACAAAATGAAAATGAAATTTTGAAAATGAAAAGTCATATCGATGAAGAATTAATTGAGAATTAAAAGAACTGACAAAAAATTAAACAAGCTGATTGCAAAAGTGACCATAATAAAGCGAAAATGTTGTGTAGTGACATAATTTGGCAAAAGTTCCTCCTTTGATTATTCTAAAGGATGCTTATATGAAACAACAACTTTCAAAAGTTTTAAATTGTTTTCTCAAACAGAATGATGGATAAAGATCATACTCTCATAATCAAGGCTCCCGTTAATTGAGATGACGCCGGTATCGGCGTTGATCTGAAATCTTTGAAGGTTGTTTCCAGAAACGATGCTGTAAACAAGCTGTCCGTTAACTCCAGTGTCAACATCACTGGCCTTAATAGTTGTTATCTGCAAGCCAATGAGGGCCGCTTCTGAGATGTTGATGCTGTATGAAACCGGTGAAATAACTGGTGCGTTGTCATTAATGTCAGTGATGATTATGTCAACCAGAGCCCTGTTTTGTCTCCACGGCATTCCGTTATCTTGAGCAATGACAACCAATGAATATTGGGACTTTCGTTCGTAGTCAATACTGTTAACCGTGATCGCGCCAGTGTTTTGATTGAGGTTGAAATCTGTCGTGTTGTCAAGTGATGTGTATGTTATACGGTTGTTTGCAGCTGAACCGTCAGCATCTGTAGCTGAAACTTGCAAAAACACATACGAATTGTTTGTGTTTTCCGGTATTGTCACCCTATAGTATGATGGGTTGAAGATTGGGTTGTTGTCATTGATGTCTGAGATGTTCACATTAATAGTTGCATTTGTTGTTGAGTAATGCATGCCATCAAAAGCCCGCACAATTATAGAGTACATTTGTGTAGTCTCGTAGTCTAGAGACTTGGCTACAACAAGAACATTCGACATTGACGAATGCAACTTAAAGTCATTATTCACATTTCCACCAACAATTTCATATGATAATTGACTGGAACTTGTATCATTGTCACGTGCAGTTAAGATCATCACAACATTGTCCACGTTAATGGCTTCTGGGATGGTTGCTGAGTAAACACTGGGAACAAAATACGGAGCATTGTCATTGGAATCAATCACACGGACTTCTACTGATGCATGTCCACGCAGCTGCACAGCTCCAGCATCATTTGCGACGACAACAAAATGGTGGACTCTGTCTTGTTCATAATCAAGTGGTTTAGCAAGACTTATAGCGCCAGTGCTTGAATTAATACTGAAAAAAAGTGATGAATCATTCAAACCAGAATTGAAGATTGAGTAAGTGATTGCTGAATTGCTGCCGATGTCCAAATCGCTGGCTTGAACTAATATGATAAAAGAGCTAACAGCTGTGTTCTCCGGAACTGATACAATGTATGTGGTTTGGCTGAATATTGGTCTGTTGTCATTCTCATCATTAATGTTAACAATGACCGTAGTACTTGCAGAATTTGCACCATCAGAAAGGGACACGGATAATGTATAGGATGTTATATTCTCCCTGTCTAGGCCATTTTTCGCATAAAGTGAACCAGAGGATGAATCGATAAGAAAGTCGCCTTTTGGGGATTGTGACGAAATAGTGTATTGTAAAGCCTTTGTGTCGTTGTCGTAGCCAAACAGGTGTAAAACCATTGCACCAGGTCTGGAGAATTCAGACACCGTTACATTGTATGTGGCAGGCATGAAATATGGCAGCTCGTCATTGATATCTTGCACATAGACAATAACATTGGTATGGCGTTGATAAGGTACCGTTCCGTTGTCTGTAGCGATGACAGAGAAATGGTATTCTTTAACTTTCTCGTAATCTAAAGAGCTTTTCAATGTTATAACACCAGTTACTGGGTTGATCGAAAAGGTGCTGTTTGCCAATGTTTGGTTGATGCTAAAAGTAAGATTACTGTGCTTTGAAGTGCCGTCACCGTCAACAGCCTTGACTTGAACAACAAATGTTGATATAGAGCTAGTTTCTGGTAGAGAAGCGGTGTAAAGTGATTTCTCAAAATGTGCATAGTTGTCGTTTATATCAACAATATTAATGGTTACTGTTGCGTTATTGCTGGATTGAAGGAGAGGACTCCCCATATCCCGAAGGCCAATGAGAAGTGTGAAAGATTTAGTTTTTTCATAGTCGAGTGCGATAACCAGTGTGATTACTCCGTTTTGAGAGTTAATAGCGAAGTGTCCTGCAGCATTCCCATCTAAGATGCTGTATACAAGTGTTGAGTTCAGCCCAAGATCAGGGTCTGAAGCGAAGACCTGAACCAACGAGCTGCTAACGAGGGTATTTTCTACAATGTCAAGAGAGTATGAACTTGGATTGAATCTTGGTTGGTTATCATTGACATCTGTGACGTTCAGCACAATTTCAGCCACAGAAGAAAAGAGTGGGTCACGAGCCTGAACAATGATGATGTAGCGGTCTTCTTGCTCCCTGTCTAGAGCTTTCTGCAGCGTAATCTGCCCAGTTGTTTTGTTGATTGCAAAGTATGAAGAAGACAGATTGCTCACGATACTGTAATTCATCAGGTCAAATGCACCTGTGTCGGGGTCAACCGCTGTGACAGTGATAACATGGCTCCCAACAGCCAGATCCTCTGCCACCGGCTGTTGAATCAATGCTGGAGTAAACACTGGACCGTTATCGTTAACATCAATAACGGTTATATTGAAAGTTATAGTGGTATTGCGTGCATCTGCCTCTCCCGTGTTAACAGCTGTTATTGAAAGTTGATAGAATGATTTCTTTTCGTAGTTCAGGGGTCGTGTGGTTGTCAACCGTACACTTGTTGTTGACGCACTGCTGAACTGAAGATCTCCATCTTGATCACCTGTAACCAACAAATTTAGCATGATGGCTGGGAGGTAGAAAAATCAGAGTGATCATGTCCACCAAATTTTCACGTAAGGAAATCTTTAATACAACACAATCTAAATATAATTTAATATAGCTAAATTGCTAAAGAAAGTGCAAGATTTCACAAGTAGCTAAAGAAATCAATTTCAATTTCATTCTTAAAATGTGTTTCTAATCGGAAGATTAAAAGTATCAACATCTTGTTATCAACAATCTGCTATCTTCTGCATATTATGTAAATGTTTTACCAGTACGTTTGACCGGGTACGCCAGCAAATAAGTATAAGCACAGAGCAAGCAATAAGCAACAAACCTGCAACAATATTGGCAGCAACAAGTGCCTTTTGGCCAATAGCAAATTTATCAGCAGAAACGATGAATGACTGAACCAAGGTCCCAGAGAGCAGATTCTCTTGAATCGTGACGCTGTATGA